CTTCTTATATTTATTTGGAAGCGTCCATGTGAGTCACTATTGTTTGCCAAATTTCTCGGATGTCTAGTCCATTCATTCTTTTGACTGTGAGAGGTAACAACACTTATGCGAAGCTACTGAAATGGCCCATACTTTCTGAGGAAGGAAATCGGTTTGCTAGATTACTGCATTTTCGGATGATATTTTTGACTTGAAAACAAGGCATGAGCCCCGATGCCCGAGCATTTCTCGAGTTTTACAGATCGTATGAAGTTTTAAATAACTTGGATTCAAATGTATTCAGTGTTTCAAAGTGCTGACAGGTTCATCTGTGAAGCTCACAACTGAAATACATCAAATTTTTATGCTGTAAACAAATGTGAATTCATGCTGAGAATGCAGTCATTCATTCCTTGTCTTAAGTACGTGCTCTCATTTAATGAGCTGTCATGTGATCCGTTGTTAAAGCATGAACATGTTTCTTTGCATCCGACAGGATTAAGCATGCAGTCAAACGCAAAAGCTATGTGGGAGTATGAAGGACTTGTTCCAGTGAAATGGTTACTCACACTCAGGGCTTTCAATTCCAAGTTTATTTGTTTTGGAGACAACTAACAAACTCGGGTATCGTGGCTACTTTAGGTGATATGCCACTTCAGAGAGATAACGGTCAATGTGAAATTGTTAGAATAACTGATCGATCACTCGAGTGATGCATTTCAGTGAATGAATTCAGTAGTTGTCACTGAACCTTTCAAAGATGCCACCTCCACTGTGATCAGAAATGTTTTTATTCACAAGGTTTACTGGCACGCGTCATACTTTCTTGCAATTTGAAATGAAAATAGGATCCATATTATTGCTGTCAACCTCTCCAGCAATTGACTCACACTAAACTCGTCGTAAACCGTGAAGGTGAATTATGTGATCAATTTGATGTAACTTGATCAGCGTCTAGACACGGCATAATGTGCTGCCAGATTGTACTGGTTGATCATCAAGTGATACATTCTGTCTCGAATCATACGAGTTATTGTATGTGAAGCATTCATTCAATAAGCGGAATGAAATCAGAAGTTGGAAGCCATTGATGCTGATTTTGTAAGGTAAGCTTACACACAGTTTATAGTGGCATCGATGAAACATCTGTGTTCAATAATTTTTGCATATGCTTTTCACGCCTAATTTGATGTCTACGCATCCTCGAAGCTACTTGCAATTGAGCCATCTTTTCAAGGCTCTCTACTATGCTTATATGAAAGTCCTCAATACTCTAACTCGGAATCTGGATGTATTACTAAGACAGAAGTTGATCAGTTCAGGCGTTATCAGTAGAAGTGGCATACATATTTTCACGGATGACAACCTGTTGACAATCACAATGACAAATAGAGCATCATGACATGCTGAGATAAGAGATATAAAACCCATGAGAAACAATAAAATCTCTCTGGGTATTCTCTCATCACCACAAGTACTCTTGCCTTAAAGGTATTCCATTCAACTAGCGGAATAAAATGAGAGGTATAGTGCTACTGATGTCAATTTAGCATCGGAAGCTTGCATAGTGTTGAAATTTTCTTCCCATCAGCTCTGCGATCTCTTTTGTGGGTGATGCTTATCTTTCCATCATGTGTTCGAATCCGACATCAGTGTAACAGTTTGTTCTCGGTCCCACTTTCTTGCAGTTGGTTCTAATTATTGTCGATTATCTAAAAATTTTCCTCTTCAATATTTTCCACACGTTTTTACATAGATAATGGCAATGTTTTCGTAATCCTGTATTTACTAATAATCTGACAATCTTTATGTCAAAGTTTCGAAATGAGATGGCACACACTGATGGATAACGTGAAATTTACAATTTCAAATGTCGGAGATATAAATGAGTAGACGTAAATTGTCTGAACCGTGTAATGTATTTGCTCAACACATTTCGAACTATCTGATCACACACGTACTTGTCATAGGTATTCATATAAACTCATGAAGATAAGGGGTGAGAAAATAAAAAGAGGTCAGGTTGGAAGGCTGAATTAAAAGCTGAATAACAATGAAAATCAATAGAGCGAAAAACAATAGTACATCGAACTTGATTTTCAATAGTTGAATTTACCAAAGAAGATTTGATGTGACAACAAGTTGTTTATGAACACATAAAGGTGGTTTCAACTTTCTAATAGTTAAGGCTTCAACAAATTTCAGGATCCCTCCCCAACATGTTTTGTAAATGTAAGCAGAGACTTAACGCTGCTGTTAGAAGGACTTACTATGCAGCCAGTGTTCGAGTAATCGAAAGCGCGAAGCCCGTGTATTCCCACAAACCTCCACAGCATGTGAACGACAATGTCACATCCCACTGTATCTACCAATTCAAATGTACGTGTGGTTACACATACATAGGGAGAACTAGTAGATCCATGCAAGTAAAGACCTCGGAACATACTCCAAAGTGGCTTCAGAAGCAAATTAAATCACCTGAACCCATAAATGTTGGTAGCAGACGTCCAAGTTCTTCGACCGCCAAACATATCGTTGAGACAGGCCACAGGATTGATATGGCTACTTCCTTTACATCTATTTGCAAAACATGTTAGGGAGGGATCCTGAAATTTGTTGAAGCCTTAACTATTAGAAAGTTGAAACCACCTTTATGTGTTCATAAACAACTTGTTGTCACATCAAATCTTCTTTGGTAAATTCAACTATTGAAAATCAAGTTCGATGTACTATTGTTTTTCGCTCTATTGATTTTCATTGTTATTCAGCTTTTAATTCAGCCTTCCAACCTGACCTCTTTTTATTTTCTCACCCCTTATCTTCATGAGTTTATATGAATACCTATGACAAGTACGTGTGTGATCAGATAGTTCGAAATGTGTTGAGCAAATACATTACACGGTTCAGACAATTTACCTCTTCTTGTTGTTGTGTCGAAGTTTATAAAGGGAACTAGTTGTTTGAAATAAATGAGTAGCTAAATTCTCCAAACTGTTTAGTATTTCGATACTATACTTATAAACTATATGATGCGGCACCCATTAAAATTACAGATAACGTATGCGTGTTATTCACACATATTGCATATATTGCAAACAACTTGAGCAAAAGTATCAGTCTAACCTTGTGTTTCTGCATACAGTGCTATAAATAATGATGATCCTGTAGATTTAGCAAAGAATCACTCTTTTCAACGATATCACTCTCAGGTTCTACAATGACATAGTAATATCAGATTCTAATTTTCACATGAAAAGAATGTTCCATAAGATATTTTGAAAGAAATTCAGTTTTGATTTTAAGTCAGGAGATTGAAAAAAGAATTACCTGCCATATTTTCCAAAAGATTAAGGAAATCACCTAGAAGCTTTATTCTAGAACATTTGATCGATTATAACCTCCCTCCTCCCCCGGGCAAAATGCAGAAATCAACTTCAGTGTTATCTATGGTGTTTGTGTAAGCTTCATGAAAGACGTACACCTAAAAACTTATCCAAATCGCGAAGGCCTTGTCAATCAATATTTTGAAGGCTGTTCAAATGAAATTTGTCCAGTCACTTGAGTTGTAATGGACATAAACTATAAGAACATTTTATCCTCAAAATCTTTCTTCTACATCTCACGCATTATATTATTCCACTGCTTATAATTCTGATTTCTGATCACATTTACCAGTCCCTCTAACCATACTGGATTCTTCAACTTGGTGAAAAAATATTGCTTTCCTCTTGATAAGTCTTTTCATTATTACTATTCCAACCATCAGGAATACGTTTTCCGATCTCGTGACTTATAATCAAAACTGAATATCTTTTAAAAATATTTTATGATACATTCTTTTTCTATACGCATGTGAATATAACATTTATGCACCATTGCACAGCTTGAGAGTAAGATCGTTGAAAAGAGTCGAGCTTTTAGCGAATTTTAAACTTTTGCGTATTTATTCCTTGTCAGTGATATGATTTGAGGTTGGACATTTTTGTTTCTTTGAAAGGTCAAATATGTGGTGTTACATCAAATGTTGGTTCATCTACAGTATTTAAATGAAGCATGCCAGAGGAATAATTCCTTCCAGTCCATAACTTAAGTCTCTGCTACTGTTCATTGGTTAAATAGGAGGTATTTGTACTTAGCAAATAACAGAAGTTGATGATTAATTGAAAATATATTCCATAAGTAAATAAATGAATAGCATTTCTTAGGTGATTTCTACTTCAACCTTTCTTTATGTTCTGAAATCACATCATAAATGCAGCATAACTGGTGTAGTTGTAGATGTGCTTCTTTCCTGCTTTACATATTGTCACAATGGTATACATAGAAAGACAACAAATAAAAAAAGTTACCCATAGTTCTTTTTTTGAGGTGATTAAATAGATTTGACTTCATTTACTTGTAGGAGATTTGCACATTCAATATCAATTTACTATAGATGTTTTTTATCTTTGTAGTAGGTCATGCCTAATGTCTACATTTTGATATGATAAAAATGATAGTCTCGATGTCACTGCATAAATTTTAATTTATGAAGACAGTTTCTAAATATCTATGCTCATAAAATTAGCAGAAAGCAAGTATAAAATTTGGGAACAAAATAAACTATTCATACTTCAGATATATATGCCAGTATAATTTTAAACAGTTAAGATACACAGTTGATATTTTAGAGTGTAAAATGGACATGATAACTCTAAACACCTGTAGAATACACAATAAATATAGTCCTAAATTCTAATACAGTGACGGCTGTGTTTTAGAATCAAAGCTGAGCTTTCTGTTCATGGGCTTCTTTAAGATTTACGTTTCTGCTAGGAGACAACTTTTCCTTACAGCTTGCTAAATCTAATTGACATCCTAAAATGTTTATTCATAACATCTACTGTCACGCTAAAGCTGACAAACAAAATTATTGATAAATGAATACACTGATTTATAACGGAAAACTAATTTACGTTATTTAGTGAACTTTAATTATGATGCTTGAAAACATTGATCTAGGGTGTATGAACTTATCATAAGTTTTCATCAATTGAATTTTCTCATATAAATGATAATAATATTTTGACTACGCCTTATATAAATGCATTAAATTTTTTTGAAATAATCAAATAGTTTTGCCCATAGTGCGAAGAAATGAAATGCATGTGTTTATTAGTTATACTAGTTGTTTCATCTCAATTTATAACGATAATTGAAAGTAATAAGAAGGATGAGGAAATAAAGTCACTTGCTTCATCTAGTAGCAGTTCAAAGAACACTTCAATACAAGCAAAACGATACTCTTATGATGACTCATCAATGAGGCAAGTTGGATTAAAGGGAAGAAAATCTTCAGACTTATTAAGAAGAGGTAAGGAATCAGTTAAAATGAATAAGAAACGTTTCACTTATAACTATTTTGCACATAAACTTGGTTCAGTTTATCAGCGAGAAAAGTTTTTAAAATTAGGAGATGGTGTGAAAAATAAAAGATATTCAGAAACTACTGATTTCAGAATACGTGGGGGAACAGATAGACATGGTCGTCGAAAAGGTTACTCACATTTTAGAACATATGGAAAATCTAATGTTTATCGTGGTAAAAACGTTTTTGACACTTTTGATTTATTCGGTAACAAGTATTCAAAAAGCAATTTTAGACTCAAAGATTCATCAAAACAGGATTATAACTTACAGCTATCGACTTTGAAAGCTAATAACCATAGTGAACCCTACGGAATGAACTCATCGTCACTTTCTTCAATAAAGAAAGAAGGGTAAGATCAAGAAGATAGTAAACTTACTGCAATCAACCAGTTCTGTTTTATAACGCGTTAAGTCTTATTCCTTTGTATACAACCAACGTATTTTATATTCAAAGAACTACTGGAGATAACTCTTCAACTCTGTTGTTACTGTTATTATTAACAACAAATATTTTCAAAACAATATTATATGCGGATATATTTTTCTTTAAACCAAACTTTTGTCACTTTTATGCACAGAGGTATAATTTTTAAGAAAATTAATAGAGGACCGAAAATAAAAGGGTTCAAGTTTACTACATGCTTCCCAGTTCCTTTTGTGTTTGGTTACGTAACAGAAAGCCTAATTCGTGACAAGAATTCAATAAGAACTACACATTGGCGATGTCATTTATTTTTGTGAGGCATACACCCAGCAAAAAACAACGGCAACTGACAAACTCCTCTCTAAATTTCTCCAATGTTTCAGATACACTCCATAACCATAATCTAAGAAGTTATGACTCTCATCCAACCGGCCAGTTTATCATGTCACCACTGTTCAGGGAAGTCTTGAAAGCGCCTATTAACTCATTGGCAAAAAAATCAAGGAGCCTTTTATACCCGTCAGTTAGCATAAGGTCATTGATAACATCTTGCACGGCTGCATTTATTATTGTTGATTTTCTTTACGTACACTATGGTAAACGGTTGAATAATCAGAATTTTTTTAATATGTGTTATAGCCTTTTTTCAGTGTAGTTTGACCGGTATATGCAATTATGAGTATTGACGAAGTAGACAGCTGGTGATGCACAGGTCTACTGATGGCTATGACAACTTACAGCTCGCTAGAAGGAAGAATACTTTTTCCCATCTCGCGCATATTCTTCCGTAAGTATAGCTGCTTCTGTGAGAAGTAGGGAAGAACGACTTTTACTTAAATTCGAAGCTCACCTCGAGTATATGACAAGTTGCTTCCGTACTGGATACCTCCAAGCATTTTGCGCTTAACTTCTACATTTATCAACAGTCGGATGGGCACAGTTATAATTCCAGTAAGTAGAATGTTTGTAAAGAATGTAAACGTCAGTATTAAGTGCATAAATTTGAAGCAGCCATTCATGCTGATGGCAAACTGTTACTCAGTATGTTAATGCATTTTTATCGGGCTTAAATTACAGCGCCAAATGTCTAGTGTTTATATATATATATATATATATATATATATATATATATATATATATATATGTCCTATAAGGCGAGCTAAATGATTTACATTAAGGTAAGAAAATATTTGAACACTTTTTGCTACTACAAATCTAATTATTTACTGAAAGCCCATAATTTCTTGTTGGATCCTAATGCAGAGCATCAGCAACTGATATCTATGAATGTAATTATGGAACCCATTTTCATAAGTGCAGATTCCTTGAACTACATGAAACGTATTACAAGACAAATAAATTAACATTATGTTTACTTGATTCACTCAGCTGAAGTTAGGAAAGTACCCAGGTTTGATAGGAGGTTCGAAGTGACCGCCTCAAATAACACTTTAATTTCACCCTATACACAAACTTTAAATGACTATCAGGAATATTTTTGATTGGTAATAAAAGTGCACTATGAAAGTTGTCTTAAATCTTGCAAGACTGAAGGTAATTCGCTAAGATCATTTCTCTAAACTTTTGATCAATAATTATCCCTCCATACATTTAGGCATTCAAGTAACCAAAAATGAACACTACCCATATCAGAAATTGTAAAACAGTTAAGTAGATAAGTAACCGAATGTATATCTTTGAGCCAAGTTTACCTATATTTTAACACATAAAAAATCAAGTCTTATTTGAATAGCTATTTAGTCACCATTACTGACTAACGGGAAAATGATATTTCAATCTGTGTTGATACTCAGTAATGACTGAAAGCAAAATGAAAACTTGGGACGCGGTGAGATTTGAATTAGCGATCGCAGGGTTTCCGGTCTGATGCTCTATCAACTGAGCTATGAGACCCGGATCCAGTTTCAGTTTTATTACAATCATCAAGGATTTTGTCCGACTGCTAAGTGATTTAATGATGTGTTACTATCACTTGAACGTACTTATACTGGTTGCCCAGTCATAAATTCTTACTTTAATCCTGATCTAACAGAATTAAGGAGGGAAATCACTACATTGATTATTATTCAAATATCTGAGTGAGATTGTCGTCATTTTACAGGCTAGAGTTGTTACTGAGTGATGATTAAGATGGGAAATGAAAAGTCCTGATTGAGCAGCAGTGTAAGCACGATGAAACAGTAGTAAGGACTTATGAATTTACATAGCAGTCGTGTAAACACCTTGGTGATTTAAGTGAAATAAATGTCCGGTCAGCAGCGAGTTTTGTAGCTCAGCTGGTAGGACTTCGGGCTGAGAGCCTGGTAATTACTGGTCTGGGACCCGCCCTGGCCAAAATTTTCATTTCACTTTCTATCATTACCCAGTATCAGTAATGGTCTGCAAAACCATGGCTATCTCACTCAGATGACCAAAATGATGAACCTTTATTACTGATATCCATATTCAGTAACACAGTTACTGTGTGCGCTCATGCTTCATATAAACATCACATCATTTGGTAGTGCCATGGTTTAAATGTTGGGTGTGAACGTATTTCATGCCTGGTTAATCAACTCAAAAATTCCCAGATGTTTGACTTTAAACTCCTAACCATGATCAGGGTATGTTGCAACTTAATCTCAGAGAGTTTAGAAAATAGAAACAAGATTTCTTTGAACGCTTCGTTATCTAGGCTACAGCTTCTTCAGCAAAAGTATTCCAAATAGGCTAGGATTACATTACAATGTACTTTGATAGTGATAAAGTGAGACTGGGTGCTCAAATTCTAAAGGATCATTCGCAAGAAATATGAAGTAGATGTTAATAATTTTGTCTGATTCTACAATTTTTAAGTCAAACAAACACTTCACCAACATGAATAACAGTTTCCCATCAGCATGAATGCCCACTCAAGGGTAATGCAATGGATAGGGACACTCTGAGATGAAAAAAAATCAGTCTTCGCTACAATTTATGGAAGCAGTAAAATTTTGTGAAGAATATTCACAATATATGAAAATACTTTTGTTCATGAATAGCGATTAGCAGTTATAACTTTCAAGACCACCACATCCGTTAACGAATGAACACTTCTTTTCCCAAATGCTTTAAACAACAGCGTACAGGATAGCTACGTGATCGAGACACGTATAATTAGTACTCCAGTGGATGCATTGAATATATTTCGACTATTATTTCCCATCCAGTAGACAATCTGAATTTCAAATGTACTGCCAACAAAATGGGTGTTCATGAAACGCTGGCTTACACTAATCCAACACATATATCAACAGCTAATAACAAAAACAGTGAGATAGAATCATATATTCCTTGACTATTATTGAAAAAGATCACAGTTTTTTCTTCCATTTTAATCTGACTTAAAATGGACTCGTCTGTTACTGCAACAGTACTCCATATTCTGGAAGATAGACGTATCCTGGAAATGCTGCAAAAATAGAATAGTTTCATTCCAAAAGTGGCGACAGGAATTATGGAAAGCATTTCTTTTGATCAAATCCAGTTACTATTGGAGCAACTAGATGAAAGGAGTAAAGAGACAATTATGAGAATCATTGAGGCATTAATTGAAAAGCTGAGTGGCATGCGAGCTTCATCAACGTCCGTACAGTCTGAACTATCTTATATGGATTCTCTCATTTCCTCAATGAGAGACTTCAATTTCGGTTTACTTGCAGACATTATATTTGAATCATGGTTTAAAAAGTATGAAGACCTATTTTTTGTTGACTTTAAGTTGCTTGGTGATGCAGCAAAAGTACCCATTCTTTTAAGAAAACTGGGCACTGTAGAACATAGCCTTTACGCAAATTTTGTACTACCAAATAATTCTAAAGATTTCACCTTTAATAAAATGGTCAGAGTCCTGACACAGATATTTGGAGAGCAATCATTTCTCTTTCGAATTAGATACCAGTGTTTGGACATTACAAAAGATTCAAGCGATGACTGGGTCAAACATTCCTGAATTGTCAATAAACTGTGTTAGCTTTTAAAACTTCCATCGATGACAGAAGATCAATTAGAACATCGTATTTTCGTCTGCAGATTAAGGTCTCCGGCAGATATTGACGTACTTGCTCGTATTTCATTTAAGATGGGACAGTGCCTGAACGTAACACTCCAGGAAATCACAAATGAGTGCTAGAGACTTATGAACTTGAAGCATGACTCAGCAATGTTTGAAAAAGCAAATCATTTAGCGAATATTAACAAAGTCAGTCAGAAAGGGTGTACAGCGACCGACCATTCAAAAAGTAATAACATTGGGCCAAAACCACCTTCAGCATGTTAGCAGTGTGATGATTGGGACTTTGTTAAATTTTGTCATTTTAAGAATCACTAGTGTATTCACTCTTCTCGATGGGCTCATACATAGGACCTTTGCAAAGCGAAACGCTGAAATCAACCACAGCTTACTCAAAAATGCATCAGCATAAAAGCTTCAAATCAGATGCTGTTATAGCACCACAAAAAAGTAGACCAGTGTCACGAAGAAAATATATTTCTCGGAAAAATCAGCGGACTTCAAGTCAGTTTACAGGTTGATATCGCTTCCCACATAACACTTATCAGTAGCGAATAAACCGACCAAAAATTCACCCAAAACTCAGGTCACTCGCAGTGCATGAGGTAGTCAGCTACATATTATTGGTGTTCATTGTGCTGTTGTGCATGTCAGCGAGATGTCTAATGAAATACTGCACCTCACAGACCGATCACCTTCAGATTTTCTTGATTTAGACTAGACAATAAACTTTTATCATTTTCACCTCTTCTTTCTGTTTTCGAAAAACCAAGCGATCATCGAGGGTGAAGTCTGAGGTTATTGTTTGAGTCCACCCCTATATATATAAGGATATATCACATTATAAAATTAGTCATTCAAATCACACTTGTGATACCCCTAAATAGAATCATTTAGTCATTTCCCTCCCTTCGTGAGGCATAAACTCAGCGATCCTTTAGTCCGTCTTCAACTTCATTCTATGAGTTAATTCTATATGCAGGACACTCAAGGAGAAATACTCTTGGGTGAAGATCGCATGAACTAAAGATATAGCATGACAGCGAAATGCTATACAAGAACCGGCATGTGAAGTTAGGGTTGGTGCTTGACTGTGGAAGAATTCCGCACAAACTCATCGGTACACATAATCATCTTCTTCAGTTACATCCACATAGTTCACCTCTTCAAACTTCCGAGTAACCGACTCCGCTGCTGTCATGCGATCGTTCATACTAGCGTCTAAGTTGACATCGAATTTGTTAGCTGGGTGACGTGTTCTTATTCTTGATAATTGCAAAATGCTTTCAAATGGCATTAGTACTCTTCCGCCTTCTGCCGTCTTGATAGCACTTACAGCTTCATTCTTAATTGCATTTCTTCGTCGGAACCCCTTGGTAACAGGTGTGGGGCCGTATATTCAAGAATCAAGTCTAGAAACAAGGGTGTCCTACGATCAAACATTTTTCTTGCATACTAGGAGATTGTGTGAACTTGCTGACCATTAGAGAAAATCAGTGAAACCGCTGTCCAGAGTTGTCCTCTTGGTGGAGAGAGAGATGGAGCTGACTATGGAAAGCACCCCCTCTGCAGCCTCTA